GTGGTGGTGGTGGTGGTGGTGGTGGTGGTGGGTGTGCTGGTGGTGGTTGTGGTGGTGGTGGTGGTGGTGGCGGTGCGGCGCGGTGGTGGCGGGCGGATGGGCGCGCGAGAAAAAGGCCCGCGCTGGGGCGAGAACGCCATCCTGAACGACGGAGGCCAAACACCGATCCGAAAATGAGGCCCACGCTGCAGCGGGAGCACGATTCGGAACGATTCGGGAGCAGAAATGAGGCCGGCGCCTCAACGAGAGCAGCATTTTGGGAAAAAATGACGCCGGCGCCTCAGCGAGAGTCGTTTCCCGGGATTTCCCGGGAATCCTGTGTGTAAAAAACAGTACGCGGAGGGTGCGCGGCCATCACCCGGACGCCATCAGGGGAAGAGGGAGAGTATTTTCATATTGAGTAATTGTGGAGGGGGGGGAGGAGGAGGAGGAGGAGGAGGAGGAGAGGAGGAGAAGGAGGAGGAGGAGGAGAAGAAGGAGGAGGAGGAGAGGCGAGGAGGAGGAGGAGGAGGAGAAGAGGAGGAGGAGGAGGAGGAGGACGACGACGACGACGACGAGGAGGAGGAGGAGGAGGAGGAGGAGGAGGAGGAGGGGAGAGGGGGACACGGTCTGGCTCCCAGACCTCTGCTCCGTGCGGCTGCCTGCAGCAGTGCGTTCTGTGGGGGAAGCTCCCACCTGCTCGAATCGGGCGCCAAAAACAGCCAGGAGCTACTCCATGGGGGGGGGGCAGGGGGGGGGTGCGAGGGTCCACGCCGATCGGCTAGACAATCAATAAGAAAACGATCACTATGTTCGCGTTCTCGCATTTCCGGGCTTCTGCAAGCCCAAGGCGGTCCGTAAGGCCTCCCGTAGACCGGCGCACTACGGCCCAAGAAGCAGAGGCCCAGAGCGAGGGCTCGCGCCGATCGGCGAAAACAATGACATGGCTGCTTCACACACCCCTTCGATCGACGATCATAAGTATCCGAGATTCAGGACATGGCTGCTTCACCCCCCCTTGGAGGGGGGCCTCCAGGATGCCTCCCGTCGCCACGGCTGGAATCCCCTCGGCGATCTGGCCAGACCGCACCCCTTGCACAGTTCAACGGGTCAATGTTGGAGAAGAGGCCAGACATCCAATGCCTCGAAAAGTCAAGACGGCGTTTAAATCGTAACTGATTGCCTGCGGGGGCAACTATCGGGCCTCAAGGCCAACGAAAACGAACGCAGACGAAGCACAGACACTGGAGTATGGGAAGGTCTGGGCCCCGTGAATCGAGAAGATCACGTGGTCTGGGAAAAGAGGGATAGAGAGGAGGGAGAGGAAGGGGATCGAAGGTCGAGGATTTGGGCTTTTGCTTTGTGGATCCTCGTTGGGCCCCTGGAGGCCTCCTCCTCCTCCTCCTCCTCCTCCTCCTCCTCGTCATCATCATCATCATCATCACCACCACCACCACCACCACCACCACCATCATCATCATCATCATCATCATCATCAGCATCAGCATCAGCATCAGCATCATCATCATCATCATCATCATCAGCATCATCATCATGATCATGATCATGATCATGATCATGATCATCATCATCATCATCATCATCATCATCATCATCATCATCATCATCATCATCATCATCATCATCATCATCGTCATCGTCATCAGCATCATCATCGTCATCAGCATCATCATCAACAACACCATCATCATCAGCATCATCAGCATTATCATCAGCATCCTCATCCGCATCATCTCATGTGTATGTTTCTCCTTATCATGTATGATCCTTCAGTCTGTCAGATTGGTATTCCTTCCCCACATGATTCCTCTTCCTCCTCCTCCTCCTCCTCATCCTCATCCAACTTCTTCTCCTCACAATATCTTCCTCGCTCTCCTCCTTCTCCTGGTCGCCTCGGTACGGACTCGGTTCACCGGAGTCTCGGTTCGCCAAGGCTCGATTCGCCAGGGCTTGGTTCGCCGGGGCTCGCTCCGCCCGCGGGCTTGGTTCGCCCGGCTCGACTCGCCCAGCTCGGGTCGGCGGGACTGAGTTCGCCCGGGTTCGCTTCGCCTGACTGCCCTCGCCGGGCCTCGTTTCGCTGGGGCTCGCTTCGCTGGTGCTCGTTTCGCCGAGGCCTGTTCCGACAGGGCTCGCTTCGCCGGGCGGGCAGAGCCTAACGCGCGAGTCGGGTCGGTCGGGCGGGCGGACCCTGGCGGGCCGGCCGGGTCGGGCGGGCGGGACTTGTAATTTGATGATGCGTCCTCGAGGTACCCGGACATCCGGCTGCTCCAATTCTTTCGATGCGTGGGCCTCGGAGGTCCGGACCACTTCCCCAGGAGCGGTGGCTCGCCCAGGACATCGCTTCGCTGCCGCTCCCGAGGCCCGGCGAGGGCCCCCGGAGGCCGAAACCCGCCAGAAACCGCCTGCTCCAACTTTTGTTGGCGCGTCGGGCCTGAGGGCAGCACGCCAGGGGGCGGGTCGGCGGGCGAGCGACCACAACCCCGTCGAAGGCCTGAGCCGAGCGAGGCTACTGGCCGGGCGGACGGAGCCGGGCACGCCGAGCCTAGGCGAGCCGAGCCTCGGGCGAAGAGCACGGGCCGGGTGGATCGAGCCTCGGGCGGATCGAGCCTCGGGCGAACCGAGCCTCGGGCGAATCGAGGCTCGGGCGAATCGAGCGGAGCGATTCGAGCTCTGGGCGAGTAGAGCCGGGCGGATCGAGCCAGGCGGATCGAGCTCGGTCTGGGCGGAATCGAGCCGTTCGAATCGAGACTCGGGCGAACCGAGACTCGGGCGAATCGAGCCTGCGCCGTCGCCCCGGCTGGATTCGATCCAAATGTTGGTCGGACTGCGCTCCCGAAGAGACCTCCCGGGCCCGGTTACGGGTGCAGACGGACAGACAAAAAGACGGACGGACAGACAGACAGACGAACAGACCGACGGACAGACGAACAGACCGACGGACAGACAAAAAGACGGACGGACAGACAAAAAGACGGACAGACGGACGGACGGACAAACAGACAGACGGACGGACGGACGGACGGACGGACGGACGGACAAACAGACGGATGGACGGACGGACAGGCAGACAGACAGACGGACGGACGGGCGGACGGACGGACAGGCAGACAGACAGACAGACAGACAGACAGACAGACACACACACCACACACACACACACACCGCGGAGGGAGGAGGCAAAGCTGGAGGGCCGGCGCGGGAGCCGGCGCCCGTGCGGGGGCGGCGCAGGAGGCCTCGGGATCTCCCCCCCTTGAGGACTGACACGTCGAGGGGCAAGATTCGAGGCTCGAGGATCGAGGCTCGAGGATCGCGGGCTTCCGGGTTCTGGGGCTCGAGGCTCGAGGCTCGAGGATCCGCGGCCTGCGGAATGCCCATGCAAGCGGTGGCGTCGCAGTGTGCAGGGCGGGCGGGACTCCAGAAGCGACAACCCGTATCGGGCTGCAGCAAGCTCAACCAGCGGCAAAGTGGACGGTGCACGAGCCGAGTCCCACTCACACACACACAGACACACCACACACACACACACACGCACACACACGCACACACACACAGACACACCACACACACACACCACACACACACACACGCACACACACATGCACACAAACACGCACACACACACACACACGCACGCACACACACACACACACACACACACACACACACACACACGCACACAATATACACACTTGTTCGCTGGCGATGTGACACCAAAGCAGTCGCGACAGGAAAGCAAATCCACGAATTGCATTCTGCCTTGAGAATGGGAAAGCCGAGCTGCGTGGAGGACGGCGTGCGGAATGGGAAGACCTCGACCGAACAGCGGGCATGCAGCAAGCACACCTGCTCCTCCGAGGCGCCGATGTGAAAACTGGTCGACGGGTGCAGAGCTGCGGGTCGCGTGAGCAATGAACGGGCCACCTGTGGGGACGTGCCCTGGGCCGGAGGCCTCGGAAAAGAGACCACGACGAAACACGCACACACGCACACACACACGCACACACGCACACACATACGCACACACACACACATACGCAAACATGCACACGCACACAGGCACACACTCACACACACAAACATGCACAGTTGTCCTCCGGCGCGCCAGCTGACTCCCATCGACGGGTGCACGGCAGCGGCACGCGTCGACCGCCGCGAGGCGTAAATACAGCAGGGAGCCGACGAGCACTGGCGGCGGCGCGCGCACGCGGGGGCCACGCGCCGGATGCACGAGCGGGGCGCTGGAAAGGCACGCGGCCACGTGTGCATCCAGCTCTCGCGAAGACGGGCCACGTCGTGTATATCCGGCCTCCTGATTGTGAACAGCGTACATGCGTAGATTCATACATGCATTCATGCGTGCGCGCATGCATGCATACATACATGCATACATGCATACATATAGAAATCGAGGAAGGGAGCACAGAGAAGGAGAGAAAGGGACAGAGAGCGACACAGAGTGGGATACGTACAAAAACGCATATGTGATGTATACGCGTATACGCACGCGTGTATGCACGCGCGTGTATGTGTGTGAACGTGTGTGAGGAAGGGGGGGAAAGGCACACAGAGAGAGAGAGAGAGAGACAGACAGACAGACAGACAGAAAAACGGAGAGGTAGGGAGGGAGGGCGAGAGCAGAATGGAGATACGAGAGTAGAGAGAGAGAGAGAGCAAGAGCGAGAGGAAGGGAGGGAGGGAAAGATGGAGGGAGGGAGGGCGAGAAAGAGAGAGTGAGAGACAGGGAGGGAGGAAGAGAGAGAGAGAGAGAGAGAGCGAGAAAGAAAGAGAGAGAGAGAGAGCGACAGGGCGAGAACAACAAAACACCAGATGGAGAAAGAGAGGGAGAAGGAAAGGGAGAGGCGAACCGCGTTCAGATGAGGTCACGGGGTCACGCAGGGACCCCACAAACCTACTGCAGTCCTTGGCTGCCTCGCTGGGAGAAATGCCAAACGGCGAAACAAGGCCCCGACGCTGCGCAGCTTGACTGGACGATGAGCCTCTCAGATCAGGTCTGCGATGTCCATGGGCATCTCCTCGATCTGAGTGTGGTAGTAGCGCTCGATGTCCTTCAGACGCCAAAAGTTACGTACACACGCGTCTAGGGCTTCTGGGAGAAGTCCGATCCTGAATTCGCGAGCTTGGTAGAGATTAATTGTGCTGCTCGCATTTCTTTGCTAGAGCGGTTGTTGGGGATGGTTCGCAAGTCTCTGCTATCGCCCAAGGTCTCGCTTCGTCAAAGCATGCCGCCGCAAGACGCGTCAAAGCATGCCGCCGCAAGAAGCTCCGACTCTCGCCCAGAAGCCGGCCCCTCTGAGAGCTGCGATGCACCGTCGGCGTTGGGCTTCCTGACGGAGGGCTCGAAACCCTCCTACATCCTCTTTCTCCTGACCGTCCTGCTCATGAGATCCTCCTCCTCCTCCTCCTCCTCCTCCTCCTCCTCCTCCTCCTCCTCCTCCTCCTCCTCCTCCTCCTCCTCCTCCTCCGCCCCCCTGCCGTCATCACCCTCGCCGCCCCCCCCCTCCCCCGCCATGCCCCACCCCATGCCCTTTCCCCATTCGACCCCCCCCTTTGACACTTCCCCTTTGCCCCTTCCCTGCCCCCACCTGCCCCACCCCCGCCCCCGCCCCCCTCTCATGCCCCTTCCCTCTTTGACCCCCATGCCTCTTTCCCCTTTTACCCCTCCCCCTTCCATACCATCAACAGCCCCTCCTCGTCGCCTCGTCAAGCGTGCCGTTAGGGCGGGCTCGGCGTTTCGTCTGAGACCTCCTCCCTGCTTACGAGCCCGAAGTTTGGAAAGTTTCAATGGCTACACGAACCGAGAAAGGCAGGGCACTTACAAGACGTGGCTTTACAAGGATCGCCGCGCACGGTCGTCTTCAAAGTCCCTGGCATGCACGGGGATGGCGGGAGAGCGCTTTGTAAACTGTGGTTCTCGCGTAGCGCCGCGCGCATTCGTCTTGAAAGCACTCTACAATCATCAAGATTGAAAACGACTCCTTCCCAAAATGTGCCTACCGTTTCAGACTTCCTCCAAGAATGCGGCCCCGCATTATTGTGCAACGGTCTCAAGGGTGGAGGGCGTTCCTTTTCAACTCCTCCTCAAAATGGGGTTGTCGCTGGTTACTTCTTTGCGCCTACTGCCCTGAGTGCAAGACCATGTGTGCTGAATGACCAATTGGCCAAGGCAAAATCATCAACAGATCGCGCGAGAATCTGCAGCCAGCTAGACGTGTACGAGCATGGAGGGCATCTCCTGCTCAAAAGCGGGGCGGACGCTGGAACGCTCTTCGGCACCGGCCCAGCATGCACTGCCGTGCAACCGCTGCGCGGGCGGGGGGCAGCTCCTCTCCAGCACAGCGATCTCGCCAGACCTTCCTCTTCAACGCTCTGGTCCGACAGTCCTTAGTCTGAAATGACTCTGGCAGGTCATATAGCATCCAGTTCCATGTCGAAAGAGTACGATATGGGGAGTGGACGGATAAGATAGGATGAGATCGATGTAATGATCTTTCCAGCAAATAGCGAACAGTAAGGTAAGTGTCCGGGAAAATAGGGCGCGCGTGCCTTGAGCCAAGACAGCGGCGCGCAGGCTATACTCCCGATCCTCTATAACATCACCCAAAGAGCTACCCTTAAAGTCGGGAGGGGAGGAGACGGAGAGTAAAGCCGCGCAGCCGCTAGGCTCTAGAAAGGCCGCGCGCACAGCTGTTTGCAAGAAAACAGTACGCGCAGTCTGGTCTACCACCAGACTGAAGGGCGAGATTATTCGCCGGCGAGTTTCCTCGCAAAGCTTTTCCACGCACACACAGGATAGCCCTTTGGATATACAAGGGCTATCGGCCCGGCTAGAGGTAAGCCAAACAGGCTATTCCCCTCCAGGCAAAAGGGTATTGAGGCAAAGAGCCTGAACCAGACTGAACAGGCTCGTTGCCAAGCGTGAGAAGTATGGCTCGTTCCCGAGCAGATAGGAGGGCGCCTCTGTATTAGGCGCCCGTGCTGGCAAACTGGACCGCGGGGGCAACAAGGACAGACTAAAACTGATTCGACTTAGGTTTGTTTTTGTCCTCGGGGCCCCGAAAGGGAACAAACTGCTTCACTTCATACTTAAACGGCTGAGTGCCTGACATCACTTCCAAGAGCAGCTCCCGATCGATACTCCCCTTTGTATGCCCATCTGCGGTCATGTCTCTAGTGCCACACCACTGTACGTTATGCACGATACCTATATCCATGAGCTCACGTATCCATCTAATATGGCCAAGCAAAATACGTTCCGTCGGCATCTTAAGGTCTTTGCTGGATAACGATTTGTATACAGACTCGGCGTCTTTAGTAAGGGATACTTTGATAGCTAGGCCTCCAACTTCACGCATATCTCGTAGTTGTCGTGGAGTAAGTGATCCGGCCTTGAGCTCGTGGAGAGTAATGAGCGTGGGATAACACTCATCAAAACTATGTGCAGCTGCAAGTGCCTCAGCGGCATAGCTGGACCTCACCTGCAGTCGGTTTGACTTGCATAGTCCGTCGCAAAGGTGAACGACGGATTTGCCTTGAGGCGAGTTTCCTCGCCGCAATACGTTAGCCCCACGAATACCGCAGCCCTTGGTTTCATCGCCCTCCTCCCCGGTGAGTTTCCGATACCCCGAATCACTGTGTATGTCAACTTCACTCGTCGGTTTCATCCGAGGGAAGGTGATGCGTTTCGGGCTGCTGATCAGCTTTCGCGTCACAGCATTCAGTCGTCTGATTTGTAAGTTGGTGGGCTCTTGGATCTTCTGGAGAGAGACCACATACACTATAAGCCAGACTTGAGTAAGGAGGGCATAGGCGAGAGCTCCTCGCAGGCTAACGAACATGTCGGTGATAAGTTTGGTAGCTTTGGCGTCTGCCGCTGCTCCCGTAAGCTCAGGGTGTGTGATAGGACGTAGTTGTTTTATGTACTCGTCCTGGACCATGATCACATCCCCTTGTTCATTCTTCGTGTAGCGAACGGCACAGTTCGTGCGAGAATGTTTTTTGAGCTTGCAACTACCAAACACCTTTTCGACACGTTGAACGTAGTCACCTACGATTTTTTCTCTAGGACTGTCATATCGATGTCATCGCCATGTTTTGCCGTTAACAGACCCTGACTGAATTCAAACTCAGGATCGTAGCTTGTCGGTGTGAGGCCTATAGCTCGTGTAGTTTACGAAGCTTGAGAGAGAACGCTCTTGGGGCGTCCTTTGTGCCCGTTCCTGGCTTGAGGCACCCGAGGCAGCGTCGGCTTTCATCGTAAGAAGAGAAGCCTGGTAGTGCACGAAGCACCTGGGCACTTCCTGGTGGAAGGGTGAAGCAGACCATGCGAGCCCCCTCGCCGGTGGCATGAGCAAGTTCCTCATATGTCAGTCCTTCGAGGAACGCTTTGTCGATGTCCGTGGACGCTGAGATCCATTCTGGATGACATGCCGCCTCACTTGCCAGAAGCCTCTGGGACTGTCTGCGGGCAGTTCCTGAGAAGGTTTCTACATCGAAAGCCTCCGCGTCCATGAACCCGCGGAGGACAAGTCGAAGGCGGATGGTTTTAACACTATCGGTGCCTACTTTCACAAACTTCCACTTGTATGCATATCTGGAGGTCATGATGTTGGAAGCTTTTGCTAGGTCAGACATCTCAAAGCATCGGTTGTCAAGCCAGATCTTGAGTCCGGTGTGCAAGGCTTCACTGACCTCTTTAGGATGTGCTGCTATATCGGCTTTGGTGAGTAGGTCGTCTTCCTTGACTACCACAGCACGTTTAGCAGCCGTTGATACATATACTCTCATCGTTGCGACCATGTCTGTTTCAAGCTGTGCAAGTTGAGTCTGATCCAACGCTACCGTTGACATTTCTGGCGTGAAACATAGCTCAACATAGGGGCCATATTCATCACTGTCAAGAGAATAGCCCTCGTCGGGGGTAGTCGAGCATAAAGAGACAAGACAGGGCTCTCGTGGTTCAGGCTCGTCTCCGAGCATCTCCGACACAGCGGTATCTTCCTCGTCCACAGATGCTGAGACCAAAACACATTGGTCGGGCAGCATGGTTGTTGGGACGCAGTAGAGATAGTCGTCAATAACCGTTGTGGGATGAAGGTCCATACGTAGCTCATCGTACCACTCCTCCATCATCATAGCCTCGATGTCGTGTTCCTCGCTTTCTTCGTAGATTGTAGACAGGCGACCTTCACGTGGTGATGAAACACCTGGGGTGTCTGGAGGAGGCTTGTCTCCAGGCTGGTCGTGTTCTCCAGACACTGTACCCAAGTGCTGATACTTGGAAAGGTCGTCATGAAATCCTCGGGAAGGAACTTGCGACGTCAGGCACTGGATGAGTCTGGAGTGAGTGCTACCAGTGATGTGAAAGATGTTCAGGCCGGTGCCTACACACTCATAAAAGTGGAAGGCTGGGTTAACATCGTTGTCGTAGTGGATCAGTGTAGACCCGGTGGCGTACTTTATTGCAGGTAGATTGGACACGCTCTTGGCCAGTCTCACGGCCACTACACGTTCAACTCGGAAATAGTTTCGCACGAGATACTGCAGTGCAAGGTGTACGCGCGGGTGAAACTTGCTGTCGTCGGAAAGATTGAGGTTTCCCTTGTAGTCTGGAATATAGCCAAAGACTTTGGCAGGTTTCCCTGCACCAAGGTGCGCCACATAAGTGAGGGCGGTTTGCATGGCCATGTTGTCCATGCCAAGTTCCCTGGTGAGAAGGCATTCAATGTATAGCGTGTGGCGAGCATCAGGGTACATTACAACTACCGCACGCGATCCTGCCTTGACGACGACGTGCCCTCGCTCAGGCATGTTACGAATCACAGGGAACGGGCCATTCCAGCCTCCATGGTCGTCCTTAGTGGCTGTAGGTCGGTGATAATCGACCAAGTCCCCAGCTGAGTACAGGCGAGCACCATCTGGGGCCGTCTTAGCCCTGAAAGCACGATTCGTCTTAGCTACCGCCGTGGCTTGAGTTATTGCTTCCGGGCTAACTTCCCTCACACGGCGTTCGCGTTCGTAGCCTGACGTCTCGGGTCCCTTAGGGAAG